AACTGCATGTGCAAAGTGTGTTCCAGCCACAAAAAAAGGTCTTCAAACAACAGCAAGTTTATGGTCTTTGTTGAAACAAGCTATGAAACTGTATCAGATTTATTTCACCTCAGATGTATTACCAAATAAATAAAACTGGCATATCACCTTACATTAAATTAATCAGTGATACCAACAGGTCCACGTTTTCTGCATTATGTCAACAAACAATCTCACAGAGAGTCTAAAGACTTAATAAATAAAGGAATGAGTCATCATACTGCAGGGGGTTTTAGGCGTGTCAGCTACACCTGGCTCACAATCTCAGCATCCTCGGCGACAAACCACTGAAGGGGAGTCCCGTCTACAGCCCGCTGGAGAACCACGTTACCTGAACCCTGTGAAAAAAGTCATAAAGCCAGCACATTGTAAATACATTAGATCTCTAATCTAGTTCAGTAAAAATATTTCATGTTGTTTTCAAGTGAAAATGTGTCAATTTGCCAGAAATCCCATGGGGACCAAGCAACGTCTAATCAAAAAACAAGAGAAAGTGATGTATTTGAAAAAAACAAACAAACCAAAACATAAAAACACAGGCTGTTGGCTCTTAGTTGCTAATGCTACTCAGTCAAATGCAAAGCATTAATGCCATTGTGTGACCCACATATCACTAGGACACAAACTTCAATAAAAGAGCTTTAAATTTAGGTCAGTGTAATGAGTAATACCACAAACTAACCACCACCTACTCCCAGTTTAACCTGACTTTTTATATAAATAACGGTACACATACTTTGAATAACTTGAGTACCTTTGCAGTATCCCAGCCCACACTTTTGGAATCACTGGTCTAATTTACGAAAGTAACAGCTTCAATGCATTAATGTGTTAAGAGTCAAATGAAAAGGTACCGTGTTCAGTACCTACCTGTGCAAAAGGAGGCAGGTGAGGTGAAATGGGGCTCGTAACGCTCTGCTGTTCCCCGCAGCTTGGCAGTAGCTTCTGTAGCTGATTCCTTTGATGCCACGATTTCAGCTCCTCTGATACGACCTCCCGGGGCAGCAGCCTCACGGCGTGGTTTGGGTACTCTTTCAGCGAGGGCGTCCGCACCAGCCTGGTGTAAGGTGGAGGGGGCTTTAAGATGCTTCTTGGTGAAGGTGTCCCCTCCTGCCACTGTCGTTGCTGAGTGCTGCGTGCCACAGTAGAGATGAAGCACTTCCCCATGTCTGGAGCTTGCGGGGAGAGGGGTCCATCTCCCGCCGCTGCCTTAACATAGCAGGTGCTCGTATTTTTGTGCATACTGGGGAAATGAGAGACTCCTTTCTTCTGTGCTCCAAAGTGGAACCCGTAAGGCGGTGGGCAGAGCTTTGGGATCTCAGTCGGCTTCTCCCTGCCAGGAGAGCTAATGCTGGAGGATGACGAGTGCTCTGAGCTGCTGTCCTCGGAGCCGGACTGGTAAGGACGCAGAGGAGAGTACTCCGGAGAGCGCACCATGAAGTCAGCCACGCAGCGTCGCTGGGGCAGCCTAGCTCGACCTCGACTGCTCTCTGAGCTGAAACGCTCCACGTCAGATGGCTTTCTTTTTGGAAGTCTGAGAAGGGACATTGTGTAAAATTTGAAACATTAATACATGCATTATTGTCTTTAATTCCTCTGATAATACAAATGACTCTGACATAACTTGTCTGTGTACCTGAAGGACTGGGAGTACTGCCGGCGTATGAACAGCTCCGGGGTGGAGGGGGCGCTGGTGGAGCTGCTGTGACGCAGGGCAGAGTTTTTGACAAACTGAGTGAGAGGAATCCTGATGCTCTCTGCAGACACCTGGGCTGCTGCTGGGCTACTGCACACAGGAGACATGAGATATCGCACACATTCAGAAAAAGGAAGCTTTACTATGTGCTAATCCAGCACAAGAAGGCTGACATTACACCTGATTTCATCTAAGTTCATCTATCAAATG